CTCTGAAGGCAGCCACTTCCCGATCGCACGGAAGCCTCAGGAGCTCCGATTCTGGCCCCACCTCGGCCGAGGCTGCACCGTCTGGGACCGGCTGAGGTCACCTGTGTGACTGCGATAAACAGCACCGAGGTGAGTGGCAACTCACGTGAGGGAGGGACCTGCCCAGCCGTGCCCTGGCGTGCGGTGGAGACGGCTCTCTGGGTTCCCAGAGTGTGATCGGTCCGGGCCGCCTCCGGTGCGCCCTGACCAGGCCTGCATCGCCGGAGCGCAGGCCCAGCGGAAACCAGGAGGTGGCCGGATGCTGGGAGAGAAATGTGGGGACTTGAGGGTCACAGGTGCCAGTCTCTGGGCTATCGTGAAAATTAAAAGTTAACCCTTCTCTGTGTGCTGGACAAGAACATCCTGAATCCCTAGAGCGATCGGGGGAAGGGACGGTGGTCAGGGGCTGGAGACCCGGTGCCACACAACACACACGACCTGTCTGTGACTTTCTCATCCCCGGACCCAACATCTTACGCCCACAAATTAGAGGAGGAGAGGCTTAGGTTTCAGTCCACTGTCAGCTGGCTCCAAGGCAGGGCGGCATGGCGGAGAAGAAACAGCCCACGGCATGGCGACCGGAAGCAGCCAGCGATCAAGGGAGGAGGAGGGGGCCGGACCCTCCCAGGCCACGCCCCCGTGACCTCCTCCCACCCGGCTCCACCTCCCACTTCACATGTAGCCGCAAACTCATCAGTGGACCAATCTACAGGTGAGTATCACACCCCGTGACCCAATCACCGCCCAAAGCCCCACCTAAGGAGGGCCTGAGGCTTTGGAGGGCCTTAGATATAAAGCGCCACCCTCCTGTCTGCCCTAGGACCCCTGTAAAATGATGGGCTACACTTGAACAGAGGGAATTTGTGCCTGGAGAGTTCTGCAAATCATGACAATAAAGCCAGGTCCCTTAAAAAGAACTTTAAAGGCCTTCCAAGTTGTCCTCCTCCTGCTCCCAGCATCTGAGCCACCACCTGTCTCCTCTGAAGAAGCATGAAGGGTGGTAGACACCTGTGTGTTTTTGTGCACATGCGTGTGTACCATGCACGTGTGGACCTGTGGTGGGGATGGGCTGACAGAAGAGGGCAAAAGAGCACGTTGCTGGGAATGTCATTTTATTTTATTTCATTTCATTTTATCTTTTTTTGAGACAGGGACTCGGTATGCATTCCAGGCTGGCCCTCGACTAATGGTGACTCCTGCCTCCGCCTCTTGAGTACTGGGATGACAGGCGTGTGCCACCACACCCAGCTTTTTTTTTTTTTTTTTTTCAGTGCTAGGGCTGGAACAGGGCCTCACACGTGCTGGGCGAGTGCTCTGCCACCCGGCTGGCCCAGGCCCTGTCCCCATGGCCATGGGAGGTCACCAGGAAGCGTCCAGGGTGTGAGCCCTGTCAATGGCAGCAGGCTGGTTCATTGAGATTGGAGATCTGCCCCCAACACCTGCCTTTAAGAAAGCGCACAGCCCCCAAGTGAGTGTGTGAAGCCCTCACCAGTCCATGTCGTCGAGGCCCAAGAGGTGGCCGTGGGTGAGTTAATTGGCCGGCTGGAGTGAACGTTCCCTGGATCCAGAGTTCAACTCTAAGGAGCCACCTGCCCTCCCGGCTCCCAGGAAGTGTGGCTCAGAATCTGGGTGCCCCGTGGCAGTGCCGGGCACCACAGGATGGGTCCCCTACTGCTCCCGGTGCAGCTCTCTCTTCGGGTGACTCTGGTCCCCAGCAGAGCCTCCCTGGCCATCCAGCCTGTGCTCTGGGTAAGGACAGCTCACCGGCCACCTCCTCTGTCCCCCAACATCTTGGCCGCCAAGAGCGGGGCTGTGGCCCCTTGGGCCCTTGTGGGATTCCACTAGAGAGCTACAGAGGATTGCAGGGACCCTGTCTGAGGCCCCCAGAGCCACCCACCCGGAGGGCAGATTCTCCAGCCAGCCCTGGACCTGCTCACTTGGGGTCTGCACATGAAGCAGATGCCCAGCGGACCCTGGGCAGTGAGCTCCTTCCAAGGAGCACAGGCCTACGTCACACCCTGGGGCTGTCCTTCCCTTCCCTCGGCACTGTCCCCACAGGCTCCTCGGTGTGAGGATCCCAGCCTGTGTGCTGGCCTAGTCCTGCTTTTGCAGTAGCAAGGGGCTGCGACTCCTTTTAGTAGGGAGGGAATATTGTGACTTTGAAGACTGCATAGCCGGCTGTGGGGGTGAATCCCAGCACTCGGGAGGCTGAGGCAGGAGGACTGCTTCAAGCTCCATGCCAGCCTGAACTCCACAGTGAGACCTACATAATAGGGGCCTCTGTTTCCCCAACCGAAAGTCTCAGGGACGGAGACGCTCCCGTTCGGGGTTTCAGATTCTCCTCAGAATCCCCCCCTTTTCTTTAATGGCCTGGGTCGCTGCCCCGGGCAGGAGCTGATCAGCTAGCTCCTGGTATGAACTCGGCTTTGGAGCCTAAAACCCCAGCTGTGCCTCCGGCCCCCGCGTAAAAGGCTGACCCGAGGGCTGCCTGGGTCCCAGGCGCGCGGCGACTCTGACGTAACAGAAGCCGTCTACGTCCGCGCGGCGCCTTTGCGCTGCAGGCGGGCGCGGGGCCACAGCGCCACCTCGCGGTGCGTATCTGTCAGGACAGCTGGCCAATCCGGAGACAGGCGCTGCCCGGTGGTACTTGGTTAAACTCCCCGTTCAAACGCGCACACTCTGTCCTCCCGTCCCTGCCCCAATCAACCCACCTGTCCTTTCTCCACCACCCCAACCTCCTCTGGTTAGCGCCTCCTCTTCCTGCTGCACCCCAAGTGCCACCTGTCCTAAAGTTGCAACCCTATTCCCTGCCCCTCCTGCTTTGTTCTGCTCCCGAGCTCACTGCCAAGGCGCCCTGTCCTTGCTGACCTGCCCCAGGCTCACCCATCTGGACCGGCAGGAATAGAGAGAGGCGGGCACTGCGAGTCACCTCGTTGCTGTATCTCCAGCCCCTTAAACAGTGTTGCCTGGGAATCGGCATTCCTTAACTGTTTGTTGATTTTAGGAGGACAGAGGCTGACATGGAGAAGGCCGGGGATGCCGTCCAGGATGCCACGGATTTCCAAAAGGAAAGCGGGGGGCGATGGTGCACACCTGTGATCGCAGCACTGAGGAGGCTGAGGCAGGAGGATCACTGTGAGCTTGAGGCCAGCATAGGCTGCACCATGAATTCAAGGCCAGAGTGAACTGCATAGCAAAATGACAGAGGGAAAAGGCATTTTCTGAAGACAAGACTTGGCTCAAGGGGTGAGGGACCAGTGCAGCCACACAGCCGTGCACCCAAGGACCTGGCACTCAGAAGAGCCTGACACAGGCTGGTGACTAGACCCACTGTCCTGAGGTCCTTAACAGCTGGACCTTGAAATTTGCATTTTGGTTTGTTTGGGTTTTTTTTAATGGAAGCTCTTTTATTCACTTATTTTGGAATTTGCGTTCTGCAAGGAAACCTGGTAGATATCAGGCCTTCTGCAGGGTGTAGAAGCTCACACAGCCCTGCTTCCTGACACCCTGCCAAGGGTTCTCAAGGTTCCCCAGGCCCCTGGGGACCCCATTTTGGCTCTCAGCAGGCTCTGGGCTGGGTACCTGGGCCTCAGAGCATCTTGGGGCAGGGGCATGGCAGCAGCAACAGTAAGCAACAGCAGGAGGCCCTGGCCTAGCAAGGGTCACCCAGGATCCTGGCCCAGGACCAAGTCCCTGCCTGGAGGTAGGGCACAGGGAGGAGCAGGGGCAGGAGCGGGGAGAGACGCCTGGCGCGACCTCTCCAGGCCTGGGGCCAGTGAGTGGAGGGGACTGAGCCCTCACAGGTCCCCAGATGCCTGAGGCTGGGTGTGTTTGTCCCTCTGGCTGGCTGGAGGCACCTCCAGGGACAAGCCACAGAATAGGAATTGTGTAATTCCACACATGAGCTAAATGCTCTGGAATTTGCATTTAAGCTGACATTGCACAAGATAAAGATGAATGGTAAGATTCATGCTAATAATTTAAGTTTTCTTCTTTTCTTTTTGGTTTTGGTGTTTCGAAACAGATGTTGATACATATTTCAGGCTGGCCTCAAACTCTAGACAAGCCTGCCTCAGCCTTCAAAGTCCTGGGAAAATAGCCATCTGCCACCATATCCAGCAATTTTTCTTAAGAGAATAAAATAGCAAATACCACGTTGAGCAGAGAGAGAGCTTAGAGGAAATTAAAAAGCTTTAGGTGTACTTTTTTGGGGTTTTTTTTTGTTTTTTGTACCAAGGATCAAACTCAAAACCTTGCGCTTGCAAGGCAGGCACAGTGCCACTGAGCTAAATCCCCGGCCGGATGTACCTTTAATGATACTCATTTCCGACTTTCTGAACAAAAGGCCTACATTTTCATTTTGGACTGGGCCTTGCCAATTATAACTGGCCAGGATTTAAACTCAACATTTATGTCAGCGTGGTCCCCTTAGGCTTCCTCTTCGGTACTTTCTCGGCACTGAGACACAAGACCTCACACAGGACTTAAAGGAGAGGTTTACTTGGGCTCACAGTTTGTAGAGGTTTTAGTCTTAAATCAGCTGGCTCCAAGGTAGAGTGGCGTCAGAGGAGAAACAGCTCGGGCAGGGCGGCCGGAGAGGAGACAGACCCTTCCAGGCCACGCCCCCAGGGCCCTCCTCCAACCAGGGCCCACCTCCCAACATCACGTTCATCTGTACACTCATCAGTGGACACAGATGAGTATCCCACCACCACAATCCAGGACCTCCCAAGCCCTGCCTGAGTGCATGAGGCTTTGGGAAACGTCAGCTATAAATAATATTCCCTAACAGCCCAGTCATCAGTGTTTTTTTTGTTTTGTTTTTTTTTTTTGAGACAGGGTCTCACTATGTAGTGAGACTGACCTGGAACTCACTATGTAACACAGGCTGGTCTCAAACTCACAGTGATCCTCCTGCCTCAGCCACCCGAGTGCTGGGGATTACAGGTGTGCACCACCACGCCCGGCCACTAGTCATCTGTTTCTGATTGTGTTTGACTAGCGTCCTCCTTTTTCCGAGTGGAAACTACATTACCAATTCTGTGACAAAGCTGCACGTGTGCAGGACAAATTCCTCTTGTTTATTATACATCTGCAATAACTTGGTTTTATTTCATTGCCCTGAAAGGACAGCACAGAACTGGGTGTGGTGACACATGCCTGTAATCCCCGCATTCTGGAACTGTGGAGGATGAAGCAGGAGGGTCACTGCAGGTTCAAGGCCAACCTGAACTACAAGAGACCCTGTCTCAAAAAAAAAAGAAATAAAGTCAAGGCACACTTGTGATCCCAGGGCTCAGGAGGCTGCGGCAGGATGGCAAAGTTCAAGGCCAACCTGAACTACACAGCAAGATCCCATCTCAAAAAAACTAACAAATGACTATCCAAAATGTCTCCAGCTACCGCCAAATGTCCCCTGGGAAGCAGTCACCCAGTTCAGGGCCGCTGGCTTTCATGGACCAGTGAGGGGGGTCAAGGTGCCAGTAGAGTAGCAGTAGGACAAGCTCTCCAACTAAGGGGCCACAAATCAAGAGCCAGAAATACAGGAAAACCACAGAATTCTTTTATTTAGTGGGGGGGGGGGATAGCCAGGGTAGACACTGTTAAAGAGTAACGAG